CTTAAGTTTTATAATGGCCTGGGGTGTGGTAGTTCTTACAGTCACTATCGGTTTTCCTATGCATACCCCCAATAAGTCCAGGTCCTAGTCTATGACCTGTACATTACTAATTGGCTTCAACCCTTCTAGGTAACCCTTACTAATTATTCAATTTAACGTAATGATTATCACTATGACAGACTCCAACACAATGGTTGGGATTATAAGGATGCATATCAACAAGACTCTCATAGCAGGTGCCACCAGCACTATAAACATAACCTGCTGAAGAATTCCAGATACATCAGCCAGTCTGAAGGGCATGACCCTGAATTGGTGCAACATAACGGGAAAGGCAAATTCAACCCTCTCCCTATCAGCTTTGTAGAGGGCTACTTGCCAGTAGCCAGACTTCAACTCAAGGATGGAAAAATTACCTGACTTCCCTTGTAATGCAAATATGTCGTCAATTAAGGGTGTTGGGTAGGCTATCTTATTCAGAGCCCTTCACAGTGATGTAGAGCATTCTGTTATTTCTGCCTCCAGCACATCCCTCATGTGCGAGCTTGCCCTTAATGCAGCAGTGTCCAGTATAGTCTTAGCACTATAGGCAGGTGATTATCTTTGTTTACCTTCATCTCTACTATTTCTTTTAAATTACCGCCCATGTGAGCTATCATGTCTCTATTATCCCTAATAGAAGGCAGGCTACTCTTTTTGTGTGTAGATGGAGTTAATATCTCTCCCTCCCTAATTATGGAATACTTATATCTGTTTTTACTATCCTCTGCCCATTCTACCTCCTCCTCAGTAATCGCTACTATAGCCTCCCTCACTTTCTCTTCCTTATGGACCCTTATTGTTGTATTAGTAGTGTTAGCAGACATTATTGGGAGACAACCTGTACTGTCAGCTTCCACTACAGACTCCACTATAGTTAGTTCTCCCTCATTAAAACAAGGTTCATTCATTTGGGCAACCTGATGTATTTTCTTTCCTCCTAATTCCCCAGCTGAAGCTGAAGAAAGCCTCTCACTATAAGTGATAGCTGTGCATGAGCACAGAATAAGATCCCCGGTAGCTTTTATGGTGATTTCTCTGCCCTTCCTTCCTTTTAAAGGTAGTTCTGTTTTCCTCATTTTATGCATGTGTTGAGCCTTATCTGTGCTTCATTACGTTGAAGCCAATCCCTACCTAGTATCATTAATCTACTCAGGGTGGGTGCCATATACAGTGGGGGTTGAATAAGTGATCGTACACATGAAAATATTTCATATTTTTATTTGTAACATATTAACAAAACAGGAATATATCTACTGTATCAGACTGCATACTAAAAATGTACGCATATAAAACTAAATAATATTCCATGTTTAAGAAAATATAGCAATATTTAAATTTTTAGGGGTTTAAAAAATGATTGTACAGCAAAACAAAAACATGTTTTCTCCATTTAATATTTTGTAGTAAAGCGTTTATTAAGTTCAACAGCAACCAATCTCTTCCTGTAGACTTTAATTAACAATTCGCATACTTTAGTAGGTATTTTGTCCCATTCTTCCTGAGTAATTGTCTTCAGGTTTTTTGATGTTTGTTGGACCTCTAGCACGGATCTTATTTTTCAAAAACCGCCATAAATTCTCTATTGGATTCAAATCTGGTGACTGACTGACTGGGTCATTGTAAGATGTTAATGTTGTTATTAGCAAGCCAATTCTTTGTACTCATAGCAGTATGCTTGGGATCATTGTCCTGCTGGAAGATCCAATCAGAAGAAAGCCGAAGATTCTCTACAGAAAATGATAAATTTTCACTTAGGATTTGTTGATATTTTTCTGCATTAGTTTGCCAACACCTAGCATTAAAAAAACAGTCCCAAATCATGATACTACCCCCACCAAATTTGACAGTTGGTATGGTGTTCTTGTGTGCGTATGCTTCACCGTCTTTCCTCCATACATGATTCAGGGAATTGCGACCGAACAACTCAATTTTACTCTCATCTGTCCAAAGAACTCTTTCCCAATGAGAATTTTCTCTCATCTTTATGCTCTGTCGCAAATTTCAACCTGGTATCTCTATACCGTTTCAGGAGTGATGTCTTTCTTGGTGAGCACGACTTTATACCATCTCTGCATAGTTCATTACTAATCGTTTGCTTAGTTACGTTAACTCCTGACAAACTCAGATCCTTCTGAAGGTCTTTTCTGATGGCCATTGGGTTATTTTGAACCTATCGCATCAACTTTCTTCGTAATCTGGGAGAGATCTTCCTGGGAGCACCAGGTCTGCCTTTGTTCTCAACAGTATTACGTCTTTTAAATCGTGCAATAAATGAACCAATTGTTGAAAAAAGGTATGTTCGTATCATTGGAGATGTTTCTGTAATTTTTTCCATTGTTCCATAGCTTAATAATTAGCTCTTTTTGAGCACAAGTCATTTCCTTACGTCTAGCCATTATTAGAACTGTTATCAGTGAACAGTGACTACAGAATGATCCAATTTTGAACTGAATGTTACAATAAAGTTACTGAGAATATTCTGGAACAGTTTAGAATCTTCTACTTTGAAGTACAACCAAAATCTACCGTATTATAACGCAAAAATTGATACTGTACAAACACTTTTTCCGCTATTTGAAATATAAAAATTTGCGTAACTATCACTTATTGATGAATTTCTAATTTTAAATTACAGATTCTGATTCTATGCCCCCAAATGCATATATAACATTGTTATTCGAGGTTTTCATTTGATATAAGTGAGAATAACAAGCATTTGTCTGTACATTTGTTGCATTGTGACTGTCCCTAGTACCTCTACAGGAGGGTGGACTAATCCCAATACATTTACCTCCCTTCCATCAACCTGAAATATTTTCTGCCTTGCAACATCTAGCTTGCTTTTTCTAAATCCTAACTGAAAGTAATCCCTAGCCCTAATCGTCTAAATGGATGCCCTTGTTTCTATAAAATGCCACTATTTCCTTACCCACCACTATTGCTTTACATGTTAAATCAGATTCCTGAACAAACAGAGAGAATGCGCTCACCTCCCCTGGGTATATTCTTTCCTTAGGTGACCTGACTGCCAAGACAAACCATTTTTTATTCTCAACTTGTGTGTTTTCTTCTTTACTTTTTTTTTTATTTTCACGGCAATTCAGGGTCACAGCACCAGATTGTGACGCCATTCGTGGTGTAATTGTGACAACATTCTCTGATCATCCAACGGTCACTGCACCTGTAACGACATTCAAGATTGAGTGTATTTGCATATACACACAACTTGCTATGTGCACAGGTTCATCTTCTCAGCCGTGATCGCTTTCAACAAAAAATGAAGACAATTGCTTTTCAAGACTCTCCAGTCGGGAAGTAGCAACAATACGATATCTCACTTAGTTCGGCTGACCTGCAATCTCCCTAACTTCACTGACCTCTGGGCTCGGTGACTCCTGATTCCTCATTACCAATAATTCTGGCACTAGCCACTGGGCAGCTTCAACTACTCTGGTCACCTATTTACTTCTCTCACGGCTGGACCCACTTTTCCCGACTTCCTGCCTCTCTCTGCTTAATCCTGGGGTCCTACACCCTCCATCCACTTGTCTTCCTGAATAATTGGGACCACCTCAAAGCGAAATGGGTGGTCAAATCTTCAAAGGACTACTTTTACGACTATCTAAAATCATTTATAAAATTTTTATTTTTCCCAATTCAAAGGCAGCTGTAGATGTAAATCCCGCAAAACACTGACACTTAACTTTACTCAGAGATGGACTGGAGACAAAATTCCTATAAAACTCAGATAACTAAGTGGGCTTAAAAGAAAAGAAATTATCTCCTAAAGATGTGTGAGAAATCATATTTTTACACTTGTTCCACTGTTCAAGTCAAGGGATATCTCATCTTGTGTGAATAGAATGTATAAATTTGTTTTTCATGGCTTATCAAACTTTCACAGATTATTTAAAACCAGAAATTAATTTTAGACTGTAAAAATTTTTTGGAGATAATATTGATTTACTAATAAAAGTCCTACTAATTAACCCTTAGGCAGGAGTAGAATAGGTAAATTCATACCTTTCCCAAATGAATGTGAATATAACAAACCCAACTGGAATTGGAACTTGGCAATCTCCCTAATTTCCAATTCTGAGCTGTTATGAATTACAACACCAACACATCCAAGCTTACATCTGTTATTACGAAGCAGTCACTCATCTAAGTACTGACCAGGTTTGATGTTGCATAACTTCAGAGAATTGATGTTTCAACATGATATGACCATAAAACCATTACACCACCTGCACCCCCAAGCTTACAGCATCTGGAATTTCAAAACGGTCACCCATCTAGGTATTGACCAGATTCAACATTGCTTAACTTCAGTAATCAGATGAGAAATGGTGTTTCAATGAGATATGGCCATAAGCCGTGAAGATGATAGAGAAATTACTTTCTTCATCATACAAGAGTAAATCAATAAGTCCATAGCCTGATATGACTATTGCTTGAAATTTGATCTGAAATTTCCACTGTATAATGTTTGATCTATATGATTAATGAAGAAGTACTGGGTTAACTGCATTGATGAGGAAAGATATTATGTTGAAAAATAAATGTTTTCTTTCATTTTTTAGGCTATAGACTTTTTTAATCATTTTATCCCAAGGCAATAAAGCCACTAAGACACAAGGGGGTTACTGAGACTAAAAGAAAGAGAGAAAACATTAGTGAGGAGAAAGGACAATAAAAGAAAAGGATTTAAAAAAGAAACAGAAGGTAGTAACTGACATTGCGTTTAAATTTTTGAAGATTGTAGCTGACAGGGAAACAGAAAGATGGAAGAAAGTTCCACAGGTGAGAAGTGCGAGAGGTGTATCTAGAGAACTGAATTCTATCTTTAAGAATCAATCTGTAGAGAAGATTGAAAAAGCACTTAAACATTAGGAATAAATAAACAAAACAAAAACATTCATCACACACACAGAAATAATTTAGTAAAAACCACTAACCATCAGTGACTTCAGAATAAACGTCATCTTTCTTTTTGGTAGGAACATCATCTTTGTTCGAGCAGGGGACAGAATTTCTAGCAGTTACATCACGCTGATTCAACTCTTTTTTCCATCTTGAACGAAATTCTTCCAGATCCACTTCACATGCCATTCTTCAGGCTGAAATAAGATCAGCGGAATACAAACTCAAAGAAGGTGCCAAAAGGAGGAACTGTTTGAGAGTTATATCAAATGACGAAAACAGCAACGGGGTCTCAGAATTAGACATCTGTTTTGAAGGTTAACACTTAGTACAGTGATACTCAACTGCTGTGCCGTGGCACACTAGTGTGTCACACGATCCACTTAAGTGTGCCATGAAATATTGTCACAACATATATATGTTTGTGTGCATGTTTGAAAGTAGTATTTGAATAAATGAATAAACATTACATTTTTTTCAAATAATTCTTTTCCTATTCTTTGATTATGTTATTTTAAATATTTTGTTTTAATATTAATTTTTTTAAATTTTTTTTTTAATATTAATTTTTTTTAAAAGTATTTTTATTTTTTTAATTTAGTTTTGTAAAATTTTCCTTTATTTGAATAAATGAATATTATTCTTTTTTTTTTCATATAATTGTATTCAACATTCTTTGTTTAATTAAAAATTTAAGGTTTTATTTCATAACATTTAAATGTATGCACTTTAAAAATTTTTCTAAGTGCACTGTGATATTTTCATTTGCTCCTAGGTGTGAAGTTTCTTAATAAGGTTGAGAAATACTGACTTAGAATATACTAAATAATAAAAAACAATTATTTCGCAATTGATAAAAGAAAAAGTAAAAAGGAAGACTACTTTAGATTAGCATTGAATATGACAAAATTAGTCTGAGCCAATTTTTAACATTTTTAAAAAAATATTCATTATTGAATGCTGGATGGGTGGTGTAAGGGAAAGTGAAATCAGTAAGCTGAGATCAAATTCCGGCCTATGGAGAGGGATGAACCCAATTTGGCTACTCCTAGCTATGGATTAAATAACAGGGTACACTGGATTCTCTAGAATTGGATGGCAGCCAGCCTAAAAGAAGGAAAAATCTGAACTTTAGAGAAGGCAACATGAAACCATGCCACTATATTTCCCAAAATTCATGGCAACAAATAAAGAAAAGGAAGTTGTGAAGCACCATGATCATCTATGACTTGAAGGGAGATGGCATTTAAAGCTATGGAGAAGGTAATGGAAAAGCACTCCACTATCTTTCACAAGAAATTTTGATAATAAAAGAAGCTGTGAAGAGCCATAATTGCCCACATCCTGAAGGGGCTTGGCACAAAAATTTCATTTGCTGGGAAAGGCATAAATTTACCTTGTCTTCTCCATTTTTGTTCGAATATGTGTCTAGCATAGCAGTTGTCAGTAAATAAAGTAGAATTGTCATGCAAAGTTCAATTCCACCCAAGTTCATTGCATTCACTTTCCCAAAAATACTCTTGGGAAAGGTATGAATATATTTCTTCTCGTGACCAGCTTTTCTACTTTTATTTTTTTGACTGTTCTTCACCCAATACAAGGTCCAAGACTACTTACACTCTGAATTGGTGAAACTAGAGAATATAGCTTGTTGGAACATTTTCCATGGAAGTAGCAATAGAGTTGTCTGTGGGAAAGCCTTGGTTGGCAACCAGTGTAGGAGAAGTGAAATTTTGAATTCAAAACTGGTTGGGCATGAGTCTGGCATCCTGCAAAAACCTACCTGCTACAGAAACTACAGTAACAGCCACACCCAGTGTAGTTGCCCCTACCCTCCAATATTTCTCATTTCTCAGGATGGCATTTTTCATTGTGCTACTTTGTAAGCATGCAGCACTCTTTTCTAGTTTTCAGAGAACAATGACTAGAGTGAGAACTGAAATACAACGTAGGGTAGTCACTAGCCGGCCGGTGATTGGAAAGCTTAGGTGGAAGTTGCATCATATGTTTACAGTGAGTTATTTAAAGCCAAAACATATTTCAGATTATAAGAGATTGAACACAGTAGCCCAGTGGTTCCCCATCTAAGTAATGACTAGGCTTGATTTTGGTGATCTAGTCCTGGGTATGATGATAAACTACATCTGGCAGCAAGGCTTCTGATTGGGAGAGTTGAAATTTTGAGGTTGCATGGAACCACCTCTTTATTGCTGTTGTTCCCAGGTCCACCTTGACCGGAGGTGGTAGCACCCATTAGGGCCCCAGCTGTGGGCAAATAGTCAACCCCCCAACAACATATGAAAATATGAAAATAAATTTTTATAGTAAAAATACTAGCAATGCATTTTTATAAAAAAAAATGGTCAATGATACATATTTATAGTAAAACTACCAACAATACATTTTAAAGCAAAACTACCAACAATACATTTTATAAGCAAAAGAACCGATGATACGTTATCTGTAGTTGAAGCCATAAAATTGTGTTCCAAATATTTCGATTTCGGCATTAAATAACCCATAGACATTTATATATCACTAAACAAAAATCAATCAATTTTGGTGATTAAACGAACAACAGTTAGAAACAAAGAAACGAGTGGTGAACTTTTATGTAATATCAATCCTCCTATACCTCCGTGGACAGAATATGTGAGCAACAAAAATGTCTAAAGGAAAATGGAAGCAAAAGGGCCACTTTTACATACAATTAGAAACTGACAGTTGAAATTTCTGGGATTGAGGAAGAGGGGCTTGGAAAATTCAACACAAACAGGACATATCAAAGGCAAAAGGAACAGGGGTGGAGGCAGCAGGCTACCCACCTGATGTGCTTTTGTGAATGAATGGCAGAATGGGCAGTGGGAAGGATGGTAAAAAATACAAACATTACAAAGAGTTAAAAATCATAAGAAGCTGTGGAGAGACATGATCGCCTATATTCTGAAGGGACAAAGTATATAGAAGAACAAAAAATTATGATTACATTTTCTTTCCTTTTACAAGTTCGGCAAATGTTTTTCTCTATTTCCCTACAGTCATACAGTTTATCAATGCTTTCATTGAGACAATTTAATGCCCCTTATTGAAAACAAATCCATTCTCAAAAGAATTTGTCAAGAAAAATGTACCGCGGTTCTCAAATGAAAATATCAGCCTGACAAATTAAATCGAGGAATCCCCGAACACATGGATCTATTGGCTTTCATTGACACAGTGTACGTTTTGTCATATTTTCTTTTTTTTAATTATTTCACCTCAAGCAAGGCAATAAAGCCACTAAGATGCAGGGGGTTACTGGATGTGAATATGACAAAAAGAAAACAGGAGAGAGAATAATAGGAAAAAAGGAATTAAGAATACAGAAGATGACAATGGGCATTGCATTTAAATTTTTGAAGATCAAAGTTGACTGGGAAGCAAGAAGAGAGTTCCACAAGCAAGAAGTGCAAAAACAAAAAAAGAAACTGTTACCATAGAACTTACAGCATCTAGCCACTTCAATTGTAAAATGATGAGACCTAGCTGCCAATCAAGTACTGCATTTAAATTCTTAAAGTCTAGCTACCAAAGGGGAAAGCTCATCAGAACAATTACCATGAAAATATTTATAGTTTCAACAGAGGGAAGCTATGTTACTATGGTGGGAAATTGATTGTAACCACAATGCCAGGTCAGGACCGATAACATTGTAGATTGTATTTTTATCAAGAATTTTTAAATACATAGCAGTAGTACGGGACTATATGTAGCAGCAATATTCAATGCATTATACATTATTTCATTATTATATAAACTCTAATTGCTCTGAAGAAAGTTAATGATAGAAGTTGTTGTAACCTAGGGAAGGTTAGTGAATAATCAAACTAAGGTTGGTAATGAACGATAATATTTAAGACAAGAATAATACATATAAGATTTGCCAGCAGCAAATAGAAGTAGTAGTCAACTGCTAGAAGTGAGTCAAGTGAATTCCACAATGAATCTCCAACTGCAGACCAACATACAGTATTTACTACTGTATTTATGTGAATGGAGACATACCCATTATTTTCCGTAGGTATGCTACAACAGAAGCAAACCTTTGAGAGTCACAGCTGATGTGAAAAAGCAAACAACAGTGAAACATGAAAGTGGAATGTGTGTCTTTGATCTGGTGGTGAATTTTTCAATGTGAAAAGCAACAAAATACAAAACAAAGATGTGATCAAAGCAGCAAAGGGGTGACAACATTAATTAAAGACTTCAGACTGTTGAAGAAGTGGAAAATAATTTATTACTGATTTGGATTAACAAAAAACAACTCAATGGTGATAGCATTTTGGAATCAGTAATTTGTGAAAAGGTGAAGCAATTAATTCTTAATTGTTTAGGTTTATGAACGATTTCTTGGAACAAATTAAGTTTGAGAAGTGACTTTCCACCATATTTGAATCCAATGCAATTTGGCATTTATTCAATTTCAATAATTTAATTTTCCTAGTTTTGATTATTCACATACTTTATAAATTACAATACGAGGACACTTCCATGTAATAATGTAATAGTTACCAAGCTTGTCTCTTTCTTTTTATGTGCTATAACTTTTCAGAATGTAGGCAATCATGGCTCTCCACCTCCTTCTATCCCTTGCAGCTCTCAACAAGTTCCTTCCCTCTGCTACCTCCTCCAGACCACGTTCTGTCAACCACTTGCTCAAGCCCGCCAGGTATGTCATGCATTGTTTTCCCTTGTCTCTCTTTCTCTCTATTCGACCGATGAGTATCAGATTCTCCAGGCCCTCCTTCTTCATCATGTGTCCCAGAAACTTCAGATTGTATTAGATCAATTACAAATAAGTAGTGAGTTTTGATCCTCACTGGGTGCTCCTTAACCTCGGCCTTGTGCCACTACTAAGCTATGCTTGTAAATCACTATATTTGGGCACTTTGGCATGGTGTAATGGTTAGCAGGCTTGTCTTGTTAGATCAATTACAACTGAGCATTGATTTTGATCCTTACTGGGTGCTCCATACTTTCAGCCTTGAGCCATATCTAAGCTATACTTAGTAAATCACTATAAATTACAATACTTAGTTTATTTCTTATATGCATATTTGGTATTCTATGGGTTATCAGAACTAACATCCACATTCATACCATGAGTTGCTCTTGTCTTTATGCTGAATGAAATAAAATAATATATATATATATATAT